TCTCTCTCTCTCTCTCTCTCTCTCTCTCTCTCTCTCTCTGTAAGAGAAGTTTATTTCTTATTAGATGGTAAATTTTCAGAAAATAATGAGCTTAAAAGGTTATGATTTGGCATGATTATATTTTTTTCTTGCCTTAACTGCTGCATTCTTACTGGTATTTTCTCTGTGGTATCAGCTGTCAGGGAGTCCACAGATAGTGTGATGTCCTACTCAAGGAGAACCCAATTCAAAATTGTGCGTCATTACAAAACTCAAGTCCAATCTTTCAGTCACTATAACCTTTGTGAGTAACAACATTTAAGAGGCATGATACCCTTTTCCCATACAGGAATGACCCTTGACATGCTGTGCAAGGCATTGGAGTATTCATACTAGAGATATATGTAGCATACTTTCAATGATTTTTTGATTATTTAAATACTGACATTGAAAATAGGTCTGTCTGTCAGTTACAGTGCATTTTGTGTTCTTGTTACGTTGTTGTTTGGAATCTTGTATTTTTTATTGAAGGTGAAACGTAGCAAGATTCGGTATCCATAAGATGGAACTACTTCAACACAAATTTCTTTTTGAATCTCATTAGTTTTTCGTGTTCTCATAGTCATTTATCAAAGCCTGATTTAGGATTTTTCAAGTAGTCAAAAAATGCATGGCTAGCAGAATTCAAATTTGATTTGTATGGTATAAAATATAAAATTGAGATCTTATGCAGTTTTTCTTTCCGCGGGAAATTTTTGAGCAGTTGTATCAGTTTTATTATGTATTAATGAATGCAATGTGAAGGCTCCTGTCTTTTTTATTAACTGTCACTTCCATTTCCTGACGTATTGTATGGATATCCTGAAGTTCTCTGATATTTCTGAGCCATAGCCTCATTGTCTGTGAATGTATCTAGATTGACTGGAGACAGGTGTCTTAAGGAATTTCTTGACAAAGTTACCCAGTACATAGTTTAGTCTGACACAGTGCTATTATTGTAAAAAGCACCAGAGTGGAATGCTTACCATTCTTGATAAACATGTCATGGGGACTTGTCAACCTTGTTTTAGTATTCATTATGTGATAATTAAGCACTATTTTCTGACCAATTCGAACTAACACTTCTTGTTGTGACTTCTAAGTTAAATAATTGTTGAGGCCAGCTGAAATCCCTTTGCTTTTTGCACTTTAAGCATTTATTTTTACATTTGCATTAGGTAGAGTTTTAGCTGTAATGCTTTGTACACCTCACCTGAATGTTTGATGAGTTTGTTATGAAATAAAAGCTGCCAGTGCACCACCCCTAATATTTAACATAATTTTATTTGATTTGCTTTTGTTTACATTGACTAAGTTGTTTTTTGTTGCTTGATTTGGCTTTCAAGTTGTGAATATTTTCATTCTCCTCAATAAAATTTTATATTTTTTATTAAACTTCCAAGTGGTAAATGCTTCACTTCCCTCCAATTATTTCATTAAATGTTTCTTTTGTTTTATAATCCATTTACTCACAGTGTCATAAATGCTTATTCACATACCACTCACAAATATTAATTCAGTAAAAGCCTTCAACACTTTATGTATTGTGCCTCTTTTCACAGGGTTTATTTCTTTCACTGTAGTGTTTTTCTAGATGTCATAGCATTTGTTGACATGTGACATTTCCAGGCAAGAAGAGTCACAAGAAGGAGGATGACAGTGATCTCTCGGAGCCAGAGGATACTTCAGGGTCGCGGCGGAGTGCGCACCCTTCTGTCTGTAAGTATTACAGCTAGAATGTATCAGTCAACATAGAAAACTAAGATTGGGTTCCCATCCCTAGATTGATCTAACACCATTCTGTCTGTAAGTGTTACAGCTAGAATGTATCAGTCAACATAAAAAACTAACAAGTAAAAATTCAATGTGTCAAATGGTCACAATTCCATGAAAAGGATAAATTATGTGTATAATCATTCATACCTGCCAGGTCACCAGCTGATAGTTCTAATAACTTAGTGTTTAATTGCAAGTGCAAATACCAGTGGTTTGTATTGACAGAAAGGTGGCGCTGGTGATTGTTGATTATCACCATGGCAATGTAGATAAATAACAAGTGTGTGGATTGAGAAAAAACTAGATGATGGTAATGTTAAAATGCTTCCCATCATTCAGGAATATTGTATTAGTAGTTGTTACTGCAGTTGTAAACAAGGTAGGCAAATGGTTGATATTTCTATAAACTATAGCTAGAATGAGATTGAAGTTCAACAATCTGTGTGTTGTCTGTATGTGTTTTATGTGTTGTTGTGCATGACTCTGTGTGTGTGTGTGTGTGTTGTGTATATAGACAGTGTAATAACTGGTTCAGTATTGTTTCAGTGGGTGTCCATGTACTACCAACCAACAGACCCAGTGGCCAGCTCAGTGTGTGTGTGTGTTGTGTATATAGACAGTGTAATAACTGGTTCAGTATTGTTTTAGTGGGTGTCCATGTACTACCAACCAACAGACCCAGTGGCCAGCTCAGTGCCCCGTCCCCCAAATCTTCTCCCAAGCTGGGGGTGAAAACAAAGAAAGCTTGGTCCTCCAATGAATCATCAGAGCTTCCAGAACATAGCGAGGAAGGAAAAATAAAGAAGAAGAGGAACAGCAAGAGGAGGAAGCGGGAAAAGGAGAAGGAGAACAAGGAGAAAGGTGGCAGTGGGAAGTGGAATGTCTCTGGTACATCAGCCTGGCAATATCCTCCAGACTTAACTGTCAACAGTGTAGAAGAACTGCAGAGAATGAGCAAGTTCATGTTTAACAAGGTAAGGAAGTAGTTTGTAGACAATGAGCAAGTTCATGTTTAACAAGGTAAGGAAGTAGTTTGTAGACAATGAGCAAGTTCATGTTTAACAAGGTAAGGAAGCAGTTTGTAGACAATGAGCAAGTTTATGTTTAACAAGGTAAGGAAGCAGTTTGTAGACAATGAGCAAGTTCATGTTTAACAAGGTAAGGAAGTAGTTTGTAGACAATGAGCAAGTTATTGTTTAACAAGGTAAGGAAGTAGTTTGTAGACAATGAGCAAGTTATTGTTTAACAAGGTAAGGAAGTAGTTTGTAGACAATGAGCAAGTTAATGTTTAACAAGGTAAGGAAGTAGTTTGTAGACAATGAGCAAGTTATTATTTAACAAGGTAAGGAAGTAGTTTGTAGACAATGAGCAAGTTATTGTTTAACAATGTAAACAAATCATTTTGGTCAAATTCTCATGTGCATGCAACTTTTGTCAAAAGGCAGTTGATATCCTTTCTAATGGTTAGTAGTTTTTATGGTGAACTGGTTTATGACAAAATGCTCTTTACCCTGTCATTCTCTTGAATATTTACACATTCTTATTTGATACAAAAAAATACTGGTTGTCATTTAAAAAGGAATTTTTGTTCTTAATAGATATTTATCCTGTTTATTGTTTCTGTCCATTGATGATTTTTAATTTTTTTTCAAGATTGCTGAATTGAATAAAGATTGTGGAAGAAGAGACACAGTACTAGACAAAGTCTTCAAGGATTCTTTGAGTGAATTTCACAGAAATCTCATCAGCATTTTGTCTGTTAAAATGCAGGTAACAAATATGACAAGTTTTATAGTAATTCCTATAATAATCCAGCTTTTCAAACCTGTTTCAGTTAAGAAATTGTATAATGCCCAAAATATGTCTTGAAAAAACAGCTATTCCATAAAATGTGATTAAGTAACTGAAAAATATATGGTAAGCTAATGATGAGATTTCTGTCTGTTGCAGGAGGACAAGACTTCAGTCAAGTACAAAGAGTTGATGTCTAACTTCCGTCAGATTTTGATCAATGGTGCTAAGCAAGAGGGGCAAGATGAGAACATGTTTCCTGCCACCATTTTCATCAATGCATTTCGAGGATTTCTTGATGAGTTCCAGAAAGAGCGACCCAAGATGAAGGTGGAGGAAAAATGGGAAGTGAAGCCTTGGAGGAAGAAGAGGAAAGAAAAGGATCCAGTTTTTGTGAGTCCAGCAATAATTTTTTTTTTTCAAAAATATTTTGTTTCATAAATATTTAGCAAATGAGTCTGTTTTTCTGTCTTTTTGAAGAAAAGAATGTTGTGAATTAATATTTGGCANGCAAGTTCATATTTAACAGTGTAAACAAATCATTTTGGTCATATTCTCATGTGCATGCAACTTTTGTCAAAAGGCAGTTGATATCCTTTCTAATGGTTAGTAGTTTTTATGGTGAACTGGTTTATGACAAAATGCTCTTTACCCTGTCATTCTCTTGAATATTTACACATTCTTATTTGATACAAAAAAATATTGGTTGTCATTTAAAAAGGAATTTTTGTTCTTAATAGATATTTATCCTGTTTATTGTTTCTGTCCATTGATGATTTTTTTTTTTTTCAAGATTGCTGAATTGAATAAAGATTGTGGAAGAAGAGACACAGTACTAGACAAAGTCTTCAAGGATTCTTTGAGTGAATTTCACAGAAATCTCATCAGCATTTTGTCTGTTAAAATGCAGGTAACAAATATGACAAGTTTTATAGTAATTCCTATAATAATCCAGCTTTCCAAACCTGTTTCAGTTAAGAAATTGTATAATGCCCAAAATATGTCTTGAAAAAACAGCTATTCCATAAAATGTAATTAAGTAACTGAAAAATATATGGTAAGCTATTGATGAGATTTCTGTCTGTTGCAGGAGGACAAGACTTCGGTCAAGTACAAAGAGTTGATGTCTAACTTCCGCCAGATTTTGATCAATGGTGCTAAGCAAGAGGGGCAAGATGAGAACATGTTTCCTGCCACCATTTTCATCAATGCATTTCGAGGATTTCTTGATGAGTTCCAGAAAGAGCGACCCAAGATGAAGGTGGAGGAAAAATGGGAAGTGAAGCCTTGGAGGAAGAAGAGGAAAGAAAAGGATCCAGTTTTTGTGAGTCCAGCAATAATTTTTTTTTTTCAAAAATATTTTGTTTCATAAATATTTAGCAAATGAATCTGTTTTTCTGACTTTTTGAAGAGAAGAATGTTGTGAATTAATATTTGGCAGTATATAGGTATAGGTATTAAGCAAAGGAATGTAACTTGAGGTTCCTTGAGTAAAATAAAGTCTTAATGTTTCCTCTCTATCTCTCTGTTTGTCTCCAGGAGTACCTTGGTCACAAGTTCACCACAGTTCAGTTCAACATCCCTACATTCTGTGAGGTGTGTGGAAGAATGATGTGGATGATGGAGAAGGGCACCTACTGTCAAAGTAAGATCATTATCTTTAGATTTCATTACCTAGTACAGTACAACACTGTGAAATAAAGAATGATGTGGATGATGGAGAAGGGCACCTACTGTCAAAGTAAGATCATTATCTTTAGATTTCATTACCTAGTACAGTACAACACTGTGAAATAAAGATATAATGATAATTTTATTTCTTTATTATTTTCAGTTTGTAAGTTTACCTGTCACAAGAAGTGTGGTGTCAAATACAGGACCCCCTGTAAAGGTCAACATGGAGACAGGTCTATTGAGGTGAGTATAGCTCTCATACAGGGTCAGGGGGGGGATGAGGGGGGTGCAGTAATAGATTACTGAATATATATTTAAGGAACTAGTTTCTTGTATAATGATGAGATATATTTTTCAATGTATTTCAGGAGGAGGTATCTGGTATATTTGGAGTCCAGCTGTGTCATTTACTACAGCGAGGAGTAAAGGTGCCCCCAGTAATAGAGCGCCTGATTACAGCCATAGAAATGAAGGGGTTATACACAGAGGGGGTGTACAGGAAGAGTGGAGCTGCTGTGAAAACAAAACAACTGGTCAAGGCAATTAATGCTGGTAAAGATCACACTTAGTATTTAAAATTTAATATTATACACAGAGGGGGTGTACAGGAAGAGTGGAGCTGCTGTGAAAACAAAACAACTGGTCAAGGCAATTAATGCTGGTAAAGATCACACTTAGTATTTAAAATTTTAAATTAACATCATTGGTTAGAGTTTGTTGATTGTTTTTCATTCTGTTTTCAGCTTAGAAAAAAAAAATGATTCCAAGATACATTGGAATTTATTTAATTTTGAAGTTATTGTCAGTTTAACTATAGAATGTTTTATTTAGTGAATAGTGAAGACAGTGTTTTTGTTTCCAATCTTCAGATCCAGATGGTATAGACTTTGATAACTACCAAATCCACGTGCTAACATATGGTCTGAAGCAGTTCTTAAGAGAATTACCGGAGCCATTACTAACGTTTGAGCTGTATGACGACTTTCTTCAGGCTACAGGTAATTATAAGCCAAACATAGCATTCTGTCTGTGTATGTGTGCACATGTGTGTGTGTGTGTGTGTGTGTGTGTGTGTGTGTGTGTGTGTGTGTGTGTGTGCGTTTGAGCTGTATGATGACTTTCTTCAGGCTACAGGTAAGCCAAACATAGCATTCTATGTGTGTGTGTGCATGTACGTGTGAGCGCGTGCAAGACCGTATGTGTGTAAAATCTACTGAACAAATTTGGATTTCAGACTCACAATAAATATCATCATTGTTCCTTATTTTCCAGACTCCCATGATGATAAAGACTGCACCCAAGCCTTGTATGCTGTGATTGAAAGGCTACCAAAGCACAACTTTGACCTCTTTGAAAGACTCATCTTTCATTTAGCTAGGTAAGGAAGCATGGAAAGCCTTAACCTAGGGGTATGAAACAAAGTGAATAATGCAGAATGACTGTATAGAGTGAAACTCATTGTTAAGCTTAAGTGTTTCAAGCAGACAAATGAACTGACCTGGTATTACAGCATTATGGTTCAGATCATAATGGAATGGCATACTTTTGATGGACAAGAGCATTCTTTCTCTCGTTGAGCATTAATTTCTGTGGTTTAACAGTTTATAGATGAAATATAGCAAGTGCTTATTCTTATGTATTACAGCATTATGGTTCTGGTCATCATGAAACAGCATACTTTTGATGGACAACAGCATTCTTTCTCTCTTTGAGCATTAATTTCTGTGGTTTAACAGTGTATAGATGAAATATAGCAAGTGCTTATTCTTATGCTATGCACATCACATTTTGCAGGGTGGCTTTCCATGAAGAATCCAACAAAATGTCTGTGAATAGTCTTGCCATTATTTTTGCGCCTTGTGTGCTGAAAACAAACAAACAAATGCCTGCCCAGGAAAGTCTCAGCCATGTTCCTAAACAGACCCAGTAAGTACTACTAGCTCTCTGTTCATATCCATACAGACCCAGTAAATACTACTAGCTATCTGTTTATGACCATTTTATAGTGGTATCTTTGTTAGCACAATAGGATTCAATGATAGTCATGTGTTACACACACACACAAACACACACACACACACACAAACACACACACACACGCACACACACACACACACACACACTGAGAGGTTGAGNTCCAGCCTTCCATATCTAGAGCCCCGTCTCAGCTCAGATGATGAACTCCTGGAGAGTGGAGATGATCTGGAAAGTGCAACGGACTCCATGGATGACCTGGATGAGGCCATGAATTCTGAGGAATATGCTGTGACCTTTGACCAGCCAGGTGAATGAGTATCTCTGAATGAAGACTAAAGTGCGTTCTCTGCACTTTCACAGGTGATGGTTGACCTTTAACCTTTCTGTCTGAAAACAATATGCATGTTGCTATGCCATGCTACTGCCTGCAGTGGCTTATTTCTTAGCATCTTGTGTATGCTGCATGCAACAAAATGTGCATCTGATACTTTTGTATTATTTAGTATATTTTTAACCCAAAGAAAAATTTATTTTATCAGATTTTTGTATCTGTTTGTAATTATTATCATAACAAGATAAATTTGAAGATTTGGTATTTCCCATTTTAGTTTCCAAATAATTGAAAATATTTATACACTTGTCCTTGTTCCTTACTTACAGTGTTGAGGTGTACTTCTAGATTCTGTATGTTTCAAATTATGTCTGACCTCACTGACATTGGCTAGCATGCTGCATGGATTAATAGTCACTTATACTAGAGATATTAGTTATAATCCTTACATAAAAACATTACTAGAATTAACATATAACTAATACCTTTTCTACTAAGTCAGTAGCTTAAAATAGATGTATTGTTAAGCAAATTAATTTGAACCAAGGCACTTCATCCTGACATAGATGTTAGAAGCATTAAATTATTGTGAGCAGGATAAGCTTTGCTGCTTTAGAGCTTTTCAGTTTGTAAGCAAAAGAAACCAAACAAATAACAACAGAATAACAAATCCAAAGCCTTGCTTGTACTAATGTTGACATTGAATCTTCGAGAAAGTATTCTTCCGTAATGTAGTAAATGTCAATTATTCTTCCAGTGAGTCCATCTTACAGACTAAGGCACATAATCAAACAGAGGCCATCTGGGCCAAATAAACGTCTTCCGTCACGGTATCGCAGCCTCAGTATTGACTATGCAAAGATGAGGACTGGGAAAAGGGAAAGATTGAGAAAAATATCAGTAGACAATTACTTCACTTTCAAACAACAACCCTTAAAGCTAAAGCATGGGAGTCATGAAGATGAAATCATGGTTTAGTTCATGCTTTGTCACGGGAGTCATCAGATGAAATCATGGTTTAGTTCAAGCTTTGTCATGGGAGTCATGAAGATGAAATCATGGTTTAGTTCATGCTTTGTCATGGGAGTCATGAAGATGAAATCATGGTTTAGTTCATGCTTTGTCACGGGAGTCATCAGATGAAATCATGGTTTAGTTCAAGCTTTGTCATGGGAGTCATGAAGATGAAATCATGGTTTAGTTCATGCTTTGTCATGGGAGTCATGAAGATGAAATCATGGTTTAGTTCATGCTTTGTCACGGGAGTCATCAGATGAAATCATGGTTTAGTTCAAGCTTTGTCATGGGAGTCATGAAGATGAAATCATGGTTTAGTTCATGCTTTGTCATGGGAGTCATGAAGATGAAATCATGGTTTAGTTCATGCTTTGTCACGGGAGTCATCAGATGAAATCATGGTTTAGTTCAAGCTTTGTCATGGGAGTCATGAAGATGAAATCATGGTTTAGTTCATGCTTTGTCATGGGAGTCATGAAGATGAAATCATGGTTTAGTTCATGCTTTGTCACGGGAGTCATCAGATGAAATCATGGTTTAGTTCAAGCTTTGTCATGGGAGTCATGAAGATGAAATCATGGTTTAGTTCATGCTTTGTCATGGGAGTCATGAAGATGAAATCATGGTTTAGTTCATGGTTTGTCACAGGGGTCATGAAGATGAAATCATGGTTTAGTTCATGGTTTGTCACGGGGGTCTTGAAGATGAAATCATGGTTTAGTTCATGCTTTGTCACGGGGGTCATGAAGATGAAATCATGGTTTAGTTCAAGGTTTGTCATGTTCAGTCTATTACTTTACACAGGGAAAAAATTTTGCAAGTCTAATTATGTTAAATATGTTAATAAATGTTCTTGTTATTTTACTAATGTCTTGTTTAATGTAAAGAGTAATTTTTGGGTTTATCACTATGTAAGACCTTGTCCCGCTCACCCACAGAGGCTGGTGCCGCTCACCCACACAGGCTGGTCCCGCTCACCCACACAGGCTGTGGAAAGAGGCATTGGGATTGATCTTTTTCTGTGGCTCGTTTATATTTTATGTTGTTGTAACAGGGAACACCTCCATTATTTGAATGTTTTTAAATGGTTATAGAAGTGCCACCAAGACACCCTGTTTTAGATAATTTGATGTGTTCAGAGTAGGTGTAACCCTGTCTTCTCATCTCTCATTACCTTCAGTGTTTTAACAAAGTCAGACCTGTTTAATACTTAAGTTAGCCATGATTGTAGATATACTTGTTTAATTATAACAAATTAAAAGTGGAATCTCTTTTCAATTAAATTTTATGGTGAATGCCTTAATTTGTTATGATACTGCATAATGTCAGAGGTAACTGCTGGTATTGGTTATGGTATGGTTGATAATGATAAGACAAAGACATGGTGTGGTAAACATTTTCTGTTCAACTTTCCTAGTACATAAGCTAGCTGTCTGTGAAGTATGTTGATTAACTGCTCAAGTACATGTCATTTTGGTAGTTCTGACTCTAAATTGTTACATGTATGTTGCTGATTTTAACATGTGAAACATTGTTATAAGGATAAACTGTGCCTTAAGTGAGAAACTTAAAGGTAAAGAAATTTTTGCAGCACTTGTATCAGAGCCTTTTTTCAAGAAAAATCACAGAAAATGTGGGATAAATGTGCAGTGGTAGATATAATTTGAAGGTTTCCAAACCAAAAAACTTACACTGAATTCTGTATCTTAGAATTTTACACTTAAAGTGATGAACTGTTCAGCACACATTTAGTTAAAGATAGAAATTATTTCTTGGATCAAGAGGAAGTAATTTGTTATAGGGAGCTGTGTAATTTGGTATTTCAGTTGTAATTTGATGAAAAGTGCAAAATATAATTGTAAATAAATTTAGTCATGTGCAATGATGCTTATTTCAGAGATTCATGTGATAATGTAGAAGTTGTTCATATGTCCATTTTCCTGTCAGCTTTATCCCACGTGGAGGCCTAAGTGTCAGTACATGGGACATGCTCCTGTCAGTGTTATTGTGTGTGAAGGCCTAGGTTACATGGGATGTGTTCAGAGATTGGTCAGTTTTATGAGCTTTTACACATGTACTTAGAAGAGATGAACCTTTAAAAATTATATATAGGTCTGTGGATCCATGTTGCCCTCAGCTGGAGAACAGACACCTTTATATTGTGCACTTGTTTCATAGCTTTTAAGCTCTAAATTCATGTAAAAATTGCTTGTAATATCTGTAGGTCTTATGTTTCCTAAGTTTACCATTGATCTGTGTGGCAGAGTCATATGCCATGGTGTAAATTCTGTAAAAAGCTTGCCAAGAAAATAACTCAAATGATAACAATAAATAAAGCTTTCAGAAGTTAATGTTTTTATTTTTGGGCACTAAGTGTTTTATTTTTATGCATCAACAGTTATCAAATGTTAGAGTAGAATAAACAAAGAATTATACAGCGAATTATACTGCTAACAAACATCAAAAACAACTGTAGAATTTGACCTGTTTATTATTGATGAGTAACTTATAATTAACGAGTTAGCATATGGATAAAAACAACTGCAAGATTGATCTGTTTTTTCTTAACGAGTGAGAAAACGCATTTAAAAGACTGTTTATAAATGAGTTAGCAAATGGATAAAACTGTAATGATCTGTTTATTCTCATCAAGTTTGCAATTGGATAAAAACAAGAATGGCCTGTTCATTCTTAACGCGTACTAGTAAGCGAGCGGATAAAAACGATTATAAAAATTGTTTATTCTTAATGATTTCACAAAGAGATGAAAACGGCTTTAAAGATTTCCTGTTCATTCTTTATGATTTAGCAAAGAGATAAAAACGACTGTAAAGATTGACCTGTCAATTACCTCTATCAAGGAGGATGTAGTTTTGCAACCTGTTTGTCTTTGTCTTGTCAGATTTTGATGAAATTTTTAGGTAATTTGTACAAATTTTGAAATGTACAGAAAGGATCAAAAATTAGTGAAGAAATTCTTAGATTGGTGGTGATCCATTAATTGATAAATTAATCATAAAATCTAGGTCACAAATCGTCCAATTTCTGTAAATATTGACCTGTTCATTAACGAGTTAGCAAGTGGATAAAACTATAATGACCTGTTTATTCTTAACAAATGAGCAAACGGATGAAAACGATGAATATTAGCTTGTTTATTCGTAAGTTTATTGATCTGTTTATTTTTAACGAGTGAACAAATGGATAAAAACAATTAAAATTGGCCTGTTTATTATAAATGAGTAAGCAAACAGAAACGAGTCTTAATATTACCTGTTTAATCTTTATAGGTAAAAAATGGATAAAACAATTAAAATTGACCTGTTAATGTTAATAAGTTATCAAACAGAAAAGAGCGATTGTAAATATTGATTTGTTTATTCTTATAATTGGCAGACACATTAATACAGTAATATTACTCAGACGAACCAATCATACATAAATTAATTCCCACTGGACTGGTTTATGTAGGTGTCCTTGCCAGGAGGATCTACTCTTTATCTCCGCCGTCTCCGCTGCCGTCGGGGTTCACGCCACAGTCGCCCCCTTTCATGTACTTGAAGGTGAGGGTGCCGGTGCTGCACTTGGCAGTCTCCATTTCACATCTGAGGTTTAGCAATCACAGAACACGTTAAAGCCCCTCTTTTTATTTGCTTTGATTAAAATTAAAATCCTAAGAAATTTAGCATTTAATAGGCTTAGTGACTTGAACAATATTCCGTTTTTTACGAGGACATGTTTATATTGTTGCACTTTGAGGAAATATTTTCATCATACATACCTGCTGGCGTAAACCTTGCCGTCAGAGCCACACATCTTAAAAAACTTGTAAGTCATCCACTTCGGGCAGGCTTTTCCCTCTGCCAGAGCCTGGCAGAATCTTGATGGCTGTTTATCACCAGTTGTTGCTGTGTTGGTTGTTTGACACCTCTTCATAGAACCGATTTCAGCGTTGGCGCAAGCTGCTTTGTAGAAATCGCAACTGCAGTATGAAAAAAGGCGTTAATCGTATAAAACACTTCTTAGCAAATATATTCTTATTTAAATAAAAAATATATCAAACTTGCTTGTTCATTTATTGTCAAACAAAATAATAAACATGACCATTTTGTGTACCTCCATTTCAACGCCCGCAGGCAGCATTTGTGGAAAGTTATGAAAATTCGGGAAACTTAATATCGAAGATGTCTTTGGAAGTCTGTCCCGCCCTTCACGCATACAAACATACGCGCACACGTTTTTTAATACACATGCGCGCGCACACACTCTCGTTTCAAACATACAACCGTACGCACACACACACACACACACACTTTTTGTACAAATACAACCATGCTAAGACATACATTCATTTTATGCACATAAGCCTTGAGAACACACTTATTTTATACTTTCACACATACAACCATGTACACATACACTCATTTTATTCACATACAACAATACACACTCACTCATTTTACACGTTCACACATACAACCATGTGCGCGCACACACTCATTTTATTCACATACAACAATGCACACTCACTCATTTTACACGTTCACACATACAAACAAGCGCACCTTCACTCATTTTATTCACATACAACAATACACACTCTCATTTTGCACGTTCACACATACAACCATGTGCGCGCACACACTCATTTTATTCACATACAACAACGCACACATTCACTTATTTTACACGTTCACTCATACAAGTTGAATGAGTTTTATTCTCGTTTTGATAGGACCAACCACACTCAGGTCCACACACCAACCCTAGGGGAGCGCGTGCCGCCATTTACTATTCAATCATGGCAAGTCAAGTGTTATTTCTCGGCTTTAAACACCAGGAAAGCTCCAGGCCCTGACGGTATAACATCACGACTTTTAAAGGAATGCGCAGCCCAGCTTTCAGATGTGTTCGCGGAAATANACAAATTAAACAAGCACGCACGCTCACTCATTTTAAAAACAGCCTACCATACGCACATACACATTGTATTTGTCACACAGTTCACCGTGCACCTACTCGCACGCATTTTATACAGACCTGCTTGCATACTCGTTTCCATCTCCGTCACACACTTTGAATTTGACCAAAGTCTTGCTACAATCCCTATCTGCCGTGTAGTAGTTGCAGAACCAACTGAATGGCTTCTTCTCCTCGGCGGCTAACGCCACGCCTAGTAAATAATTTCCCCACGTTTAGAAATATGCTTTATGGGGAAAATATGTCGCAGTATACAGGTAGTAGTCATAGATTAAACATTCAATTCCGAATATACAGAATTATTAGTGAATAACACCCACTTCAAGAAAAGCAGAAGAAGAGAGTGGACGGCTGTGGCTTGACATGGATTTCCCATTTTTACTTATTCCCAACCTGTAGTAATACTTCCCTTTTAACATGTATTCGCCATTTTAGCTTATTCCCAATCTAAATTATGCTTAAGATGGACTTCCCATTTAAACCTATTCCTAAGCTAAAATAAACATACCAATCAGCAGAACGACGATCAAGACCTTCATATTGGAGGGTAAAATGAAGTGGACGCGGCGCGCACNACCTAGCAATTCGAGACTCTTAGCTTTTAAGGGTAGTAAGCGATTTTTAAATAGCTTTTATCCTTCGGCAGTAACTATTTTTAACTCTAACATGTAATTTTAATTTTCATTTTTTTTATATTTCAATGGCGCTACTACAGGGCAAAAGATTCCCGATTTTATACATTTGTATTTTATTGGCTTAATAAATTATTATTATTATTATTATTATTATTATTATTATTATTATACAAATTAAACAAGCACGCACGCTCACTCATTTTAAAAACAGCCTACCATACGCACATACACATTGTATTTGTCACACAGTTCACCGTGCACCCACACGCACGCATTTTATACAGACCTGCTGGCATACTCGTTTCCATCTCCGTCACACACTTTGAATTTGACCAAAGTCTTGCTACAATCCCTATCTGCCGTGTAGTAGTTGCAGAACCAACTGAATGGCTTCTTCTCCTCGGCGGCTAACGCCACGCCTTGTAAATAATTTTCCCACGTTTAGAAATATGCTTTATGGGGAAAATATGTCGCAGTATACAGGTAGTAGTCATAGATTAAACATTCAATTCCGAATATACAGAATTATTAGTGAATAACACCCACTTCAAGAAAAGCAGAAGAAGAGAGTGGACGGCTGTGGCTTGACATGGATTTCCCATTTTTACTTATTCCCAACCTGTAGTAATACTTCCCTTTTAACATGTATTCGCCATTTTAGCTTATTCCCAATCTAAATTATGCTTAAGATGGACTTCCCATTTTAACCTATTCCTAAGCTAAAATAAACATACCAATCAGCAGAACGACTATCAAGACCTTCATATTGGAGGTTAAAATGAAGTGGACGCGGCGCGCACAGTATTTATCTGGCTACGTGACACAGTATTTTGGGATGGGCCGCTGTGTGATGTGCGTTGGTGGTTGCAGCACATGGCAATCTTCACAAACCCATATGTGTTTGGGTCGGGCCGCTAGGGTCAAGGAAGACACGATGTCACACACCATGTATGTGTGTTTGGGTGGAGCTGCTAGGGTCAAGGCAGACACGACTTCACACAGGTATGAGTGTGTTGGGATGGGGCTGCTAGGGTGAAGGAAGACACGACACACAGCATGGCGCAAATGAGCGTGCAGAGACACAGGCGCAGGGGTGGGGACACGTGCATTAAGGCCCCTCACAGTTTCTGAAAGCGTCAGTCATAATAAGGCTAAAACGAAGGAAACACAGCACTCATTAAAGCCTGGGTCACATTGCGGTTTTCAACCTTTTGGCAACCTTTTTCCAACCAGTCGCGAGGAGATTGTCATAGGATTTTAGTGGTCGGATAACGTTCTTAACAAGTCGTCAGCGATCGAAGACACTTGAAGGCCATTTTTGTGCACCGACAACCATTGCGACTGAAAATTAAAAATATCAATATCCCAAAGATTGCCTATCGGTCCACTCTTGGTTGCCAGTAGTTCCCTATAACCAGACTAAAAGCAGTCGCACACCACTTGTAACTGCATGGTCCGTTGACGGTCTTAAGCCACTTGGTTGATAACAAGTTTCTTACTGGTCGCAAACATTCGAAAACATGAAAGGTTGCAAGCAACCGTAATAAAATAGGCGTAGCATGGTGGCCTATTTTGGCGAATAATTTTTTTTTTCGCATTTTGTCATGCATGCATTTTAAATGTCTTGATGATAAATCATTATATATATAAAAAAATATTAACTGCGTTTGTTGTCAAGAGTTTACACTTATTGACAAGGTTTGCATTGGACACGTATTTTAACCCCAAAATTCCATATGAGACTAAATTACTTATGTGCTAATTTTTGACGCTTTATTCATTTCTTTTATGATTTTATAAAAAATTATTGGTAAATGAGTTTCATGGTAGTAGGCCTATCTCATTAAAAATTGCATATTACCTAATAAACAATGAATTAAAAGGATGGATGCAGAGAAAACGTAAAATGAAAATAATTTAATCATATTATTATAAATAAATAGGAATTATACATACCTGATAGGTAAAATTCGTATTTTTATCATACTTTCTACCATTAAAATTATCTACAAATTATACTAGAGTTCCAGTAAATACAATTTAACATCTTTCCAGTGCTTGGTATCCTCACCACAAGGATGAGAATGTACACGATCTGTCATAATAATAATAATAATAATAATAATAATAATAATAATAATAATAATAATTTATTGAGTACAGAAATGTCTTTACATTTAAAGGCTCTTTTACTATTAAGTATTATATATATATATATATATATACACACACACACACAGGATAATAGTAATGATAGTAAATAAGTGAAAAAATAAATATAGTGTTAAATATAATTACGTTATAAATGGTAATTGTACATGGTAAACGCCTGAGGCTAAAGAGGCAGAGGCAATCAGCGACCTATTAGCAAGCGGTTGGATACCACAAATTGGTTTTTGATTCGCCTCCAGGTTTTCGATGCTACATGCACAGCGAAAACATACGCGACAAGACACTTACAGGCGTTCTTTTAGAAACCAGTTTGCCGGTTAAAGCAACTGGTCGCCAATCATACTGGGACCCACACCACAGTCCATATGGGAACCAGTTTGAGACCCAAGGCACAAAAACATTCCTATTTTAAACTATTTAAAGACTTCAACTTGCTCGCCATTTATGATAGAAAAGATGTAGAAAATTTACAGTTATATAAAAGCCTCAAAATGGGTTGACACCTGACTGATTTATTAACCACTGAAATATCTGCTATAACAAAGAGACAAACAGATCTTGGACCAAAGAACAGACATACTAGTATTTACCAGGCCCGTCTGGAGCACCGCGCGTTTATGAAATAATGTTGATATGACATTAAATTCGAAAACATTACAAAGTTTAAAATCAGCCTATATAATTTAATAAAAAAATGAGGATATTTAATGTTGTTGTTGTTATATGTACAATGTTTTATTGGTATTTTGATAGTTGAAACATAATCTTTTATATTTTACTTATTTATTTCAACTTACATCATGAGAGCTATGGAGGAGATCAATTTTAGATTTAGCATATTTCTCCCTCAATGAATAAAGTATAATAACAATAAATAAATTAAAAAAATCGGTTTTCTTAGCGTTCACTTAAAGAAGCGGTTCCTGTGTCGATCCCTCACGCAGACACTTCTGCAGGTTCCAGGCTGCTCTCAGTCGCGGATTGGCGCATTTGGCTGTGTCGTAAGCACACCTAGATAAATAAACAAATATTAACAAACGTCAATTATTTATTCACAGTTATGGCAAAAATGGTCGTGCACCATTCTTTGCAAGAAGAAGATGTACATTTCTAATCTGTGTGTATTTCTAAAGAGAGGGCTACTTTTCAGAAAATAATGTCGTTAACCTAGTTACCTGCTCCTGTAAATGTTTCTGTCGTTTCCACATATCATGAGGTTCTCCACTTTCCAGGAGTCTGGGCAGCCGTCAGTGGCGATCTTATTGCAGATATACGGGCTGTGTGTCGGGTGTTCTCGATGTGGATGTTTAGTGGGTCGAGTGGTATTGGCATACAACAGACCAGTTTTATTACATTTGTAATACACCAGACTCATTGTAGCATCTGGGGCGCAGGCTGCTTTGTAGAACTCGCAACTGAAAATATATGTGTGTATGTGTGTGTTGTATATCAGAACCTGAATCTCGAGTATTGTAGGTGGATTGTCAATCTACCCGAACGTTAATCTCGCCAACGTGGATTGTCAAACTACCTGGACGTTAATCTCGCCAAGGTGGATTGTCAAACTACC